CGCCGATTCGGTGCCGAAAAGTTCGCTTTGACTAATTTCGCAACAAATTGATTGTAATGGTGCAAGTTGAGTAGACTGAGAACTAGCAAGCCGACTACTCCGAGTATCTATGAACAAGAAAAGGAGAGCTCAAGGAGCTCTTGAACTCCTGAGTTCGACCTTTCCTTAACACCCGTAAGAGAGGGCGTTGTCAAGTTATGAGAGTCATTGTTAACTAAACTTACCTGTTTTAAAAAGAATTGATTGTTCTCTCCATCCTTCGCAAGGGTTCACGCCATTTACCTTTAGTTTAGAAGACTTCCTAGCCACCTGATCAAATCAGGGTGTCTGGCCAGCCTCTCAATCTACTGATATAAATGATTTTATAACATCCAGCAATTACGTCAACTCTCTGGTGTCGGGTAAATTCCTTCAGACAAAAGGACAATCTGTCCGAATTGGTACGAGACGGCCAGGACATTATTTGGGCATCCTGCATGACTGACCAATGCTTAAACTTTGTAAATGCCAGGTGATGCAGGCGGTGACTGTTCGTGATAGAAGGCTGCCAAGCCTATGCATTAGTGATTTGTGGCTGCGGCATTCAGTGTTTCTCCGTGTGGGATGTAGCGAAGTCTAATTAAAGTGGGAGCAGCCAAGAGTACTCGCCTCAAGAAACGGAAACGGACATCCTCGACGGGGACAGCAGTTAGCCAATCGGAACTTGGGATTAGCGGCTAATTGTCTCTTTCGGGTAGTTTTGACAAAAATGGAAAGGTCACCTGCACCTCTGTGCCCCGCGTTTGTCGACCGGATCGTCCGGCTGAACCAACCAATAGAAACGAGTCTGTAATCGACGGGCAATGCCCCACCTATTTGGAACATACTCGCGAAGTCTAATTAAGTTGGGGGCAGCCATTAGTGCTCCGTCTCAAGAAAACAGGGAAGCGGCATCCACGGCAGGGCCGACAATTGACCAGTTGAACTTGAGGATATTGGCAAATAGTCTGTTTCGAGTAATCGTGGCGAAAACGGAAAGGCCACCTGCCACTTGATGCAAGAACCCAGTCAAGTCCCATGTCAATATGGATTACAAAGTATGATTCACAGTGTGTGAAATAGTATAGGAGACAGTATATTACCATATCGCGCACGTATCCTGTGCTGGCACATGCATCGTAATTGCCCAGCAACAAGATAATAACTCTAGCAACGTGATCTTTGTTTACAACAAAATTACCTTTTTTGTGACCTATGACATCAGTAAAAATGGTTGGCAATATATTGTTTCGCACTATTGGACACACTGGATATGAAGGGCTCGGCAACCAGCTGAGTGTGAATTCAGGTGGTCGAGGACTGCAGATTGACGATATCAACTCCTCAATTTAGATAAGCGGACAGAAGCGACAACAAGACATCGCATTATTAGAGAGTTGTAAGGGAACAGCCCCACTTTAGAACTTGGGTAGCTCGAGTCGGATCCTCCTTTTGGAGCTCTTACTCTCCTTGTGAACGATCGCTTTCTCCAAGCCGCACTCGACCTTGTTCGTGCTCTTGTACCGTCACAAGAGTGACTGTGGACGTGCCGGAGGGGTAAGGCTGGAAAGAGACCTCACCCGCAAAAGGGCAACACAGGCAAGACACAGAGGATCAAGGGTATGCAGAGCCAATTGGTGAGAGGATTAACTACATTGACCCCCTTGTGAAAATAGGAAGCGCACGGTATGTCCAAGAAGCAGAAATCCCACTTCTGTTGCTTTAGGCTTAGTGTCACAAAGCACGACTGTTCGGGACAGCTTAAACAAAACCAAAAATTCCTGATTTCCTATGGAAAGAATGGAATCGTACAAAGGCTATATACTCGTTGTCATATAGCTGTCGGGTAGAAAGGCAGTATTGTAATGACTGTTGCCTTGAACGAGTGACTTGATCTTGACACGTGGTCCAGCAGTTGGAAGTTATTACGGCAGCAAGTTCCAGATGGGTGGGACGCGGCAAGAGTAATGGGATGCTGTCACGATATGAGACTCATTACTAAATAAGTTTCTTCATAATATCATTATTCTTGTTGTTCGCATTGCTGCAGACAGAGTCTACATCCCTCTTGGATAGCAAAATAGTGTGTTTCGTCCGCATTTAACTTTCGGCCGTTTAGTCAGATGACCGACGCTATGACAACCAGCAATTACACCAAGCTGTGCGACTTCAATCTACTGAGGCGTCATCCGACAGTTGTAATCAGTATGGCCGTGGTGAATTTACCAGCCATTTGAAGGGCCCAGCACGGGACCCCTGCATTCAAGAGTTCGTGCTAACCCGGTTCATAGAGAGTTCAAAGCGAATGCACCGAATATAAGGCTTGCATATTTTTCGAACTCGGCTTGATGTAGTTACTTCTCCGCTTGTCCATTTATTCTTCAACAACAACAACTCACAGTTGCCCGCATCATGTCGCTTTTATTATGGATTTTTCGAAAGAGATCTTGTATTTGCGACGATTTACACAATATGGGCTCCTGTCTGGACCCATCCTATTTACTCATTACTATGTGATAGGCAATGGGCGTTTACCAAAAGTCGCTGCGGTCGGTAAACCAACCTATTGGTTGCATACCTGGAATGAGTTCGACCGTCAAAGATTCATTCTTCGTGTCTCCGAAATCTCCGATAGCATGCTTATGCATGCCTTGATCCACAGCAAAGACATTGCTGTGATCGAGGCTAAAGGGTTGAGTCCACGCGCCTTCGCCCCAACTCAGCCCGCTATCCTACACAATGACCCTCTAATAGGCCCCGACCTGCCGCAGCCGTGGGGTTCAATCCCATTGATCGTGCATTTATCGTTGCACTTTGATATCGGCACAACTTACAGACAAAACATTGAGGAATCAAAAGACGATAAAGCTATCTTAGCAAGACAAACAGTCTCCAGCAGTTTACACAATTTCTTAAGTGCCGCATCAAGGGAGGTGAAGCAGCTGGATATTAGCTTCGAAACTGATCGGGGATTCGAAGAAGAATACCCAGCTCACTTTGGTGTCACGCTGCCCAACATCTTATTTTGGAAGTTGGAGACTTTAACCCTGGCGGGTTTCGCAGATTTATCTGGCCAGTTTGCATACTTTCTGCGTAAACACAAAGACACTATTGTTAGCGTCACACTAGAAAATATCAACTTGGGACCGGGATCCTTGATTACACTATTCCGAACTCTTAGGGAGCTCAATCTGAGAAGTACAAACTTGCATGGCAAGTTGGAGGGAAGCAATCGTGAGGAAATCATAGATTTCAGCGAAAATCCGTGGCTGACTAATAAATTTGAAGAGGTCGTTGCGTGGGAGGCCTGGAAGTTTGAAGAGTGGTGTAATTGCATGATATCCAGGCTGTAACTATCAGGTTATGAGACTCATTGTTTACTTAAGCTTGTCATAAAATCATTATTCTTGTTTGTTGTCCCTTCTCTGTCCTTCAGAAGGATTCGCGTCATTTATCTTAAGAAGAGTTCCCAGCCACCTGATGAAATCAGGGTGGCTAGCCAGCCTTTCTAACTACTGATATCAATGATTTTATGACATGCAGAAATTACGTTAGTCGGCTTGTCCAACTAACGGAGACAGCCGCATCCGACAGAATGCTAGGTGGTTGCTCACAGTGTTATTTAACGCCACAAATCTGACACAACCACAAGCATACTTGTTCAACTAACAAAAGCAGCCTCATTCGAACTTGTGTCCTCTTTAGTTTTGTACTAGAATAGCTACCTCAAACATGATCTCGTGGTACATGCTTGTTACCTCAACTTCGTAAATCCTGTTGAATGACATCAGGCTGCTTTCAAGGTGTCGGTTCACAGGCGGTAATCACTAGCTACTGCATTAGTCATATGATCATTGTTCTTCTTGTTCTTGTTGTTTTTATCTAGAGCTTGAAGCTATCAATGGGAAAGGAGGTGCTGCAATCTTAGTCACGTGCACTTTTAAGGTTATAGATATCGTGACTACTAACGCTTCCCCCTTTTTTCCTACCTTGAATAGAACATAGACTTGAATTGACTTTTATTGATACCCCGTTGCAGGGTGGCGATCAACTCAAC